AGAACTAAGGCAATACAGCAAAGGAGGGGGAGGGAGAGGGAGTCAAAACAGGGGCGGGAAGAACCCAAGGGAATATGGTGATGGTTCACGGGGGATATGGTGGTGGAAGAACTATTGGGACTACAATGATGTAAGGAAAAAAATTAAAAATAGGTAAAGAGCTCTTGATATTTGTCTTAGGGATGTTTTGTGGATTTGTTTCTATCAACATGAAAAATAGAATATAAACAAATGGAACTACATCAAACAAAAGCTTCTGCAAAGTGAAAGATCATCAATAAAATGAAAAGGCAAGGAAAAAAAAAGAAAAGGCAGCCTATTGAGTGGGCTGCACTTGTCTGCCTGCTGTTAGGGCAGCACTGTTGGTAGGATTTGACAATCCTCCCGGGAAGTGGCACTTTGGTTGAGTTTGGCCTTGTCCCTGGACTAAGCTGTACTCAAGAGCTAGTTCTGGGATTCCAACATTGGCATGTGGCTGACTGAAGTCAGAGGGATGTGTTGATGTTTCTAGGGCCTCACCTGCATTGGTGCTCACTGAACCTGCAGTAATAATGCACAGTGTTGGCAGCAGCCGCAGTGTCACAAGGAAGGTTGGCTCCTGCTGAAATGCCCCGCACCCCTGCCAATCACACTGCCCACATGCAGCTTCTGGGACTGGACACCAGAGCCCCAAGAGGAAAGAGGTGCTCCAGAGCTCACACCTGGCTAGCACCTGCAGGCCCTCAAACCGGCCCTTTGAGGGTCTCCATGTAGGCCCCTCCAGCTTTCTGCTGCAGGGTGGTTTGGCTGCCCAGAGGTGGCACCTGGACAACCAGTGGTAAACTCTTCTTTGCCACAGGAGTCTTAGGGTCTCCACTCTCAAACCCAGCTGGCTTCTGGGAAATGAGAGGTCCCCAGCAGGGAGCAAATCTTGTGGCAGTGTAGTGCCAGGATGGGCCACTGAGCAGGTTTTCTATGATCCGAGCACACCTGGTACAGGAAGAGTCCTGGAGCCCTTGGTGGCTTTCTCAGGCTTTTATTGAGCTTTTACATGTAGTGCAGCAACCAGGTACACGGCAGGCAGGGGTGCTGGGGGTCCAGGAGACTGGCAGGCCTCCGAGCCCCTGGCAAGTCTTCACTCTGGGCTTCTCTGGCCTTCCTTCTTCCCTTCTCTCTCCTGCCTCTTCTCCTGCCTCAGCTTTCCTTGGCCAATATCTCAATACTGCAGTCATGGCCCACAGAAGTAAACAATACAACTTCTAACAATGTAACAAATGCAGGTGCCCCACCAGGCAGGACAATCCTAATGTGGGGAGGGCAGAAAAGCCCAAAAATCATGTACCCTACAGGCAGGAAACCACCACCACTACCCCAAGTGCTCATGCTACTCAGGCTGTGGCAGAAAGAGCAGGTCTTGCCGTGGGACTTGTGCCAGGCTCTGGTTTCAGTTGTATACGTATTCTCAGAATCATTCATATTTATACTAACTTAATTCTAGTGAGATTTAAGAATGTATTCCTCAATGTGTAGCTCTATTCCCCCTTCCCCTTATTTTGCTGTTGTGGTTATGTATGTTACATCTATGTATACTCGGAACCTAATGATGAATTGTTTACTTTAACTAGTTTTAGGTCATTTAAAGAAACTGAGAAAAGGAAGGAGAGTCCAATGTACATGTGTATCATGTGTTAACTTTCTTATTTACCATATCGGTTGCACTTCCTTTGATACTGCAGACTTGAATTTCCAACTGCTGCCAACTGCTGTGCTCCCATCCCTTTTATTGCGTGCTATCAGCAATTTAATTATATTTCTATGTTTAAGTGCAAGTTCCAATTAAATACATATTGTTTGATAAAATTGCCTTTTAATCAGTTAAGAGGAAAAAAAGAATGTCATTATTGGTCAATAGTGTGTGTGTGTGTTGTTTTGGTTTGGTTTTGGTATTATAGTGACGTTGGCCTCATAGAATATATTTGAAAGTATTCCATCTTTCTTGACTTTTTGAAAGAGATTGTATGGGATAGGTATTAGCTCATCTTTTAATGTTTGATAGCACTCACTGGTGAAGCCATTTGATTTTTGTTTTTGGGAAGAATTTTGATTACTATTTCAATTTCCTTGCTTTGATTGGCCTATTCATGTTTTCTGTTTCTTCCTTATTCAGTCTTGGATGATTGTATAGTTCTAAGAATGTTACTTAATGCTACTTATTAGCATATAGATGTTCAAAGTAATCTCTATTGTCTGAATTTCGTGGCATGTCTGTTGTAACATCTTGTCTTTCATTTCTAATCCTGTGTGTACTTTCCCCCCCTTTTTCTTCGTGAGTCTAGCTAGAGATTCGTCTATTTTGTTTATTTTTTCCCTAAGAACAAGCTTTCGGTTTCATTAATCTTTTGGACTGTCTTTTTAATTTCTGTTTCACTTACTTTTGCTTTTTTATGATTTCCTTTCTTCTTTTGGGTTTGGTTTGTTTTCCTTTTTCTAATTCTTTGAGATGAGAGAAGTTTATTTACTTGAGTTCTTTCTCTTGATGTAGACTCACACTGCTACGTATTTTCTTCTTCTTACTGCTTTTGCTGCCTCCTATAAATTCTGGACAGTTGTGGCCTTATTGTCATTGATTTCAAGGTATTTTCTTTATTTCTTCTCTGATTTCCTCCTAACCCAGTAGTCTTTCAGTAGTGTGTTGTTTAATTACCATGTATTGGGGTTTACCCTGTTTTCTTTTTTGTTTGGTTTTTAGTTTAATACCTTTATGGTCAGAGAAGATTCTTTGTATTATTTTGATATTTTTTAATTTGCTAAGTCTTGAGTTGTTAAGTAATATATAGACAATTTTGGAGGCTGTCCCATGTGTATGAAGAAAATAGATATTAAGGTTTTTGTTGGGTGCAGTGCTTTATATTTATCTTTTAGGTCCCTGTGGTCTATTTCTTTATTTAAGGATATTGCATCCCTATTTATTTTCTGTCAGTTGATCTGCCCAGAGGTGAGAATGGGTGTTAAAATTCCCTACTAGAACTGTTCTTCCCAATGTCTCTTTCAGAATTGATAGTAGTTGCCTAATATGTTTTGGTGTTCTTTCAATTAGCGAGTATATATATATATAAATGAATGGTATATCTTCCTCATGTAGTGTTCCCCAAATCATTACAGTGTCCACCCCTAACTCTTGATAACTTTCTTAACTAGAAAGCTATTTTGTCTGATATAAGTATGGCTATTTCTTACTTCCTTTGAGCTCTTTGTGCTTGTCGGATTGTTTTCCAACCCTTTAACCTGAGTTCATGTTTCTCTTTGAAGCTCAGGTGCATTCTGGGAGATAGCAGGAAATGATCCAGTCAGATATTCTGTGCCTTTTAATTGGCGAGTTCAGTCCATGCACATTTTGAGTGATTACTGATGTTGCTATCATTTTGTCCTTAACTTTTGTGGTTCTGTTTCCCTGTTTAGTTCTTTGTGTATGTTCCTTTCTTTGATTTGGGTATAAGAACTCCTTTCAAAATTTCTTGAATGAGGGACATAGTGTTTGCAAACTCCTTCAGTTTTTGTTTGTCAGCAAAGGCCTTATATCTCCCTAATAGCTGTAGGAGACTCTTGCTAGATAGAGTAAAAAAAGGATTTTTGCCCTTACCTATTGGAACATATTGTTCCATTCTCTCCTTGCTCGTAGAGTTTCTTTAGAGAAGTCCTATATTAGCCAGATGAGTATACCTTTATAGGTTATCTGCTTCTTCCCACTTGCCAGCTTCACTGTTCTTTCTTTGCCTTGAACTCTTGAAATATTTACTAGTAAAAACCTTGGTCTCCTTTTCCTTAGGTGTCTTGTGGATCTTTGAGCTTCCTGGATTTGTACATTTATTCCCTTCTTTATGTTTAGGAAATTGTCCTCCATTATTTCTTTGAATACATATTCTGTTCCCTTCTCTGTCTCTATATTCTTATACTTCATTTCCTCATGGAGTCAGATAATTATTGCAGTAATTCCTCATGTTTTTTTTTACCTTGCTTCTCTCTTTTTCTACCCAAATTCATTGTTCTTTCATGTCTTCAAATTCATTGATTTATTCTTCCATTTTTTCTATTCTACTTCTATAGCTTTCTCTTATATTTTTAATCATCTCTACTATTCTTTTATATCCTTACTCTCCATATTTTTCTTAGTTAAAAACTCAATTTCAGTGTTCTCTTCAATGATCTTATTTCTCATGACGTTCATTTGCTTTTCAGAGTTTTCTTTGTAATCTTCCAATTCTTTAATTTTCTTCATAATGGCAATTTTGAATTCTACATCTGATAGGAAGATTATCTCTTCATTTTTTTGTGATTGGGTTCTACGGGTTTGTTCTCTCTCTCTCTGTGGTATTTTGTTACCCTGAAGAACTGTGTGCCCATTTGCTGTATTTTCCCCTTTTCCCATTGCTGAATTTTGTGTTGCCTAGCTATGTGTGTGGTGTCTAATCCTATTCCCAAGCTGGCCTGTGCTCTCATCAGGGCCTGTTCCCCTAAGTCTTGGTTGGGTGCTCAGTGACTGGTAGCAGGGGATGCTCAAACTTTCTCTTTCTCCAAGACAGTGGGACATGGGCTCAAAAAATTATGTGCCCTTTCACAGAGAAGTACCAAAGAATGTGCTTTAGTAAACAAGAAAAGATCAAAGCTTATATCCAGTAAACAGTACTTTCAACCCAGAGAGTAATGAAGGAAATCCCATAAAACAAGCACCAAATTACCTCTGCATTTTACCACATGGTTAATATTGCAGTATATTTGAGAATCTAGAAACATATTGCAGAAGAGTCTAAAGAGTCAAGAATGTTTTCCTTTGACAAAAGAATGAAGAGAAATAGGAAGTGGTAGCAATTCGGTTATAATTTGATTTGTTTCACCCAGATTTGTTTAAAAATAAAAATTTTGAATTTTTTTAAAAAAAACATTATATGTCAGCACTGTGAAAGATGGATGAGAGGAATAGAAAAGACCATTTTATTCTTGTACTTTCTATTTTCTTGTCTCAGGACCTGGCATATCACCATACCAATGACAGACAATGATATACTAATGGAGATTAAGGGAAAACCAGTGGCTTTACAAGATTGCTTTACTGCAGACTCTCGGCTTCAGCTTACCTATCCTTTGTGGACAATGGCAGAGGTTTCTGGTTATTTACCAATCTCTTCACCGCGTGGTAGTCAGTTAATGGCAGACTGGGATGCTTGTTTTCCTTCTGTAGCTGTTGTGGTAGCTGATATGGAGACCTTTCAAACAAATGATTCATTCCAATCTTGGACCAGAGTCAGAGTGCCTCCAAATATGCTGTCTGATGAGGACAGACACAAAGTGTCTGATGTGAGCTTCTCACGGGATGGAATATTTCTTCTAATAATTGATAGGCTTTTTATAAGACGTTATTATATATTTTTAAGACTAGGAAAACTTTTTGATCTTCCCGATGATGGAATTATTGGCATCACATCAAGAAAATGGTGTTGGACCAATTATTTACTCAAGGTTAGTAAAAGATATTCATATTACATATTTGCTATACCATTTTTTGGTGATGTATCAGAGACTATAGGATACAGATTATTTTAGATTTATTTTTTATGATTGTAAATAGTTCTATTTTCCTAAATTAACTTCACAGCAATCTCTGTTAAGTGATGAACCTCCAACTGAGAATAAAATGGATCTTGTATATTATAATGCAGGTCATTAAGTCTTATTAAGAGAATTTGGGCTTACCTTGATGTTAACAACAAAAAAAAAACCTCCTAAATTGTTTTTCTTTTTTTTTTCACTATAATTCATTTGTTGTTATTGTTGTTGTTTTAAAGATTTGTTTATTTATACATACAAGAACTGGAGTACAGGCCAGAGTTGTGGGGGAGGGGGTGAGAGGATTCACCAGAGACAGAATGTGGAACAGAACAGGCAGATCAACTGAAATGCACTGCTGAGAGGAGCAGCAGGTGAGTCAGGAGAGGTCTGCTGCGCCATGTGGGTTGCTCGCTGGCTGGGGATCGAACTCATGCTGCAGTGGCTGTGGCGAGCCTCATAGGTTGCGTCTTAACCCCTTATGCCAGCAGGGAGGCCCCCAAATTGCTTTTCTTAAACAAACACTCTGTGCTCTCAAAAATGGATTAACTCTTCCATTTCTAACAATAGAGTTAGTTAGTAAGATATTCTGAAGCTATCTCATTGAAAAACACCTTGTAATGCCAGGAGGGGCACAGAGCTGGTTCTCTCTGATCCAAGCAGATGGACAAAGGAGAGTCCTGGAGCCCTCTGTGGTTTTCTTAGGCTTTCATTTAGCTTTTACATATAATGCAGCAACCAGGTATATGGCAGGCACATGGGGGGCCAGGAGGCTGGCAGGCCCCCCAGCCCCTGGTGAACCTTTTCTCTTTACTGGGCTCTCTCTCCTTCTTTCTTTTTTCTCTCCTGTTCTCTCTCCTGCCTCTGCTTCTCCTGGCAAATATATCAATACTACAGCCATGGCCCACAAGAGTAAACAACACAACTGAAAATACCAGTGTAACAAGATGCAGGTGCCCCTATCAGGCATGCAATCCTAATGGCGGAAGGGCAGAAAAGTCTGAAAATCACTTACTGTACACACCTAGAAAGCTGCACGGAAATTTACACATTTTAAACACATAGCTAAACTTACATGTCAATAAGGGAAATCATAAAAGGAAACAGGAGTTCTGGAACACTAGTCCAGAGTCATAAATTCTGAAATCTCAGTTGCCCTGAGGTCATGTGCTGATCCCACATATTTAGACCTCTAGTACTTGGAATAATTTTTTACAAACAATATGAGCCTTCAATATTTTTCCAACAAAATTAAGTCTATCTCAGTTTTAACTTTTAGAAGGAGAGAAAAAATGTCTTTAGAATTCATGACAATGAGTCAACCCACAAACACTTTGGGACTCAAATTCACAGTACCTGACTGGTTCAAAAAAGATATTAAGTTTAACCTATATAACAAGCACAGATCCTTTCTGGAGAAAATTACCTTACACTCATGCTTTGAAAATTCTGTGCAAATAACTTTCTGAGTAAATAAAATCACATTCCAAAATGGCAAAACATATGAAAATATAAGATACCAAGGAAGTCAACAGAAAACAAAGAGCAGAATCATTCCTCCAAGATCATTGCAAAGCAATTAGTAAGACTTAAGAAGTCATTTTCATAAAATCTCAAATAGTGCTTATCCTAAAAAGATGTAGTGACTGAGAATGAGTATATGTAGCACGTGGAAGTGTTTTGTCATAAATCTTTCATATATATAATTATATTTTGTGCATGTGTGGACTATGTTTAAAAATTTTTAGTATGTTAAATATTAAATTTCATTAAAAATCTTAAATGAAACTAATACTTAAAATGTAAAATTCAACAGATGGTTTAAATAAATTGGATACAACAAAAGTAATGCACTAAAAATACATTAGAAGAAATGAAACAAGATGAAAATTTAAGAGAAAAAGAGATGAAAAAACATAACAAGAATAGAGAGTAAGAAGAGTTAAAGGGAAGAATGGAAAAGAGATGATCCAATATATATCTGACCAGAATTCCAAACAGGAAAGAGATGGAAAGTTTTCAGACATAAAGATACCAGTTCTTAATCCAGAAATACTTCCCAATTGATAGAGAAAAACAGAATGTGTTTAAACACAAAATAATGAAATTTTCATACATCTTCAACTAACAAGAGAGATTAAAATTATCTAGACAGAAAATACAAATTACAAAAAGTAATGACAATAAAACAAGTAGGCAGCATCAATGTTAGCCAACAGATGGTATAATTCTCAAATAACGGAGACAAAGTTATTGTCAATCTAAAATTACACTTATTTGATGAAACTATTCTCAAAAACAAGAATTTTTAAAACTATTTTAAGGATCAAACCCAGAGATTTCAGAATATAATTAAAATAACTGCAATAAAAATTTATTAGATGTGCTCAACAGCAGAATGGAGATGACATGACAGAGGAAAGAGCCAATAAGACTAAAGCTTGCATCAATAAAACTTTTTTCTCTAAACAAGAGAAAATACTTGTCAAAATTGAACCAAGTCTCAGAAATTAATGGGGATGATGTAAAAGGTCTAATGTTTATGTCATTGGAGCTCAAGAGGGAAAGAAGAAAGAGTAGAAATGATATATCTGAATAGACAATGGCTAATAACTTTCCAATTAAGCAAAAAAAAAAAGTATGGAGTTTAGCAAATTACAAATAAGATCATTACAAGCAAATTCATAAACTACTGAAAACCAAAGGGAAAAATTTGAAAGCAAACTGAGAAAAACGATATATAATGTGCCAGAAAACAATGAATCAGTTGATGGCACATCTCAAGTGCTAGAGATTACAAAAGTGCTGAAAGAAAAGAAACATATATCTTCTGTTGCGGGGGTTTTTTTTTTTACATAGGCATCACACTTCCAGACTTCAAACTATACTACAAAGCCATTATCATCAAACCTGCATGGTATTGTGACAAGAACAGACACACAGACCAATGGAATCGAATAGAAAATCCAGAAATAAACCCACAGATTTATGGTCAACTAATCTTTGACAAAGGAGCAAAGACTATGCATTGGAGCAAAGAAAGTTTGTTCAATAAATGGTGGGCGGAAAACTCGGTCGCTACATGCAAAAGAATGAAGCTTGATCACTAATTCACACCATACACAAAAATCAACTCAAAATGGATTAAAGAACTAGACATAAGACCTGAAACCATAAAATACATAGAAGGAAATATAGGCAAAACACTACATGATATTCACATGAAAGACATCTTTACAGACACATCACCCAAAGCAGTGATAGTGAAGGCAAAGATAAACAGCTTGGACTACATCAAATTAAAGAGCTTGGGCACAGCAAAAGAGACAATAACAAAAACAAAGAGAAACCCCACCGACTGGGAGAACATTTTTGCACACAACACTAATGATAAAGGACTGATCACAAAAATCTGCAAAGAGCTGATGAGACTCAACAAAAACAAAGAAAATAATCCAGTCAAAAAATGGGCAGAAGAGCTAAAAAGAAACTTCTCTGAAGAGGAAATGCAAATGGCCAACAGGCATGTGAAAAAATGTTCAACGTCACTTGTAATCAGGGAAATGCAAATCAAAACTACCATGAGATACCATCTTACACCAGTGAGAATGGCACATATTAAAAAAACTAGCAACAACAAATGTTGGTGAGGTTGTGGAGAAAAAGGAACTCTCCTGCACTGTTTGTGGGAGTGCAAACTAGTCCAACCACTATGGAGAGCTATGTGGAGATTTCTGGACCTACTAAACATAGAGCTTCCATATGATCCAGCAATTCCACTCCTAGGTATTTACCCAAAGGACACAGAAACATCAATTCCAAAGAGCACCTGCACCCCTATGTTTATAGCAGCACTGTTTACAATAGCTAAGCTTTGGAAACAACCCAAATGCCCAAAAATAGATGACTGGATCAAGAAGATGTGGTACATATATACCATGGAATATTACTCAGCATTCAAAAAAGATAAACACATGCAATTTGCAGCAACATGGATGGCGCTGGAAGGGATCATGCTCAGCGAAATAAGCCAAAAAGAAAAAGAAAAATACCGGATGGTCTCACTCATAGCAGGAATCTAGAAAACTTAAATAAGAGACCAGGAAAATGAATATAAGAAAGTGAAAATCAAAATCAACAAAAAACTATGAACCAGAGACACTTTTTGGGGGGTGGGGGGCGGGAGGGGAAGGATTGGGGTCAGAATGGGGCGTTTGCAATTGTATGGGGGAATATAAAAATAAAATTTATTATTTAAAAAAAAAAAAAGAAACATATATCTTCTGTTGCGGGGTTTTAATGTATTTTCATATAGTAAATATGACAACTATTACCAATGATGAGCACAAAGGAGCCTATGGGGTAGTGAGGGTTTTTCATTCCACTTGAAATGCTAAAATATTAATTCTATGAAAAATGTTGTAACCCCTAGAGCAGGCACACAAAAAAATAAGTACATATATATACATGGTAAAGAAAATAAATTTAAATGGAAGACCTTTTTTTTTTCAAATCCAAAAAAAAAAAAGGGCAGAAAAAGAGAAACACTGGGGAAAAGCCTGAGAATACAAACTGAATACAATGAAATGATTTTGCTAAATATAAACATATCAACTGTAAAACCACTAAACTAAAAGACAGAGATTGTCAGGTTTTGAAAAACTGTATGCTTTCTATTAGAAGCCCATGTTACATATAATGATGTAGCTGGATTAAAAGTAAGACACTGGAAAAAGATATACCATCAAACACCAATTAAAAGAAAGCTTAAGTGACTTTATTACTATCCAACAAGCTAGGAAAACAATCAGGGTAAATAGGAATATATACAAAATGATTAAAGAGTCAACTCATCAAGAAGACATAACAATCCTAAATGTCTATGCACCTAATAACTGAATTTCAAAACACAT